CCAAGAGTCCCCAGGTTTTGCCACACTGCTGGCCAACCAGGTCTCCACTTGGGTTCACAGGAGTCTGTTGAATGTTGTAGGGCTTAGCTCGCAGCTTCATTGCTATTTTTCCCTCACTTCCCCATATCGGTGATGAACATGGACAACAATCAGAGCGTGTATTCCCATTGAGTCTTAGTCTTAGAAGGTGGTTTGCCCTGAGGGGACCCGACCACTTGGCTTGATGTCTCCTTGTTGAGCAAGTTGATTGTTCTTGTAGTAATCAGTCGGACTGTCTTTATTGTTTTGTATTTTTCCTGTCAGTCTTTCTTTCAAGAAATATCTTCTGTTCTTCCAGCCCCTCCAGGCAGGTCTGCTTGTCCTTTCAAGTGGAAATTTTCCACCTCAGGAGATAACTGGATGGGGTTCAGTATTCCACCTATGGTCTTATGTAATGCAAAGACTCTGCAGGAAGCCTTCACTGGACACGTTGTAGCCCCATTTTAGGTATTACACTCAGTTATAGGTAGAAGATGGACTTACAGGCTTTCTATGTGATATTTCTGGTTATTCCTTTCTCTCCCCCTCAAATGTCTATTTTATAATGGTATGTCAGGAAAACCAAGATTCAAAAGACAGCCAAGCATCTTAACATTATTTTCCCCCTTTTGCCCATTCTAACCCTGTTTAAGTCCCTGTATCACAGAGCCCTGTTGTTCCAAGGTTGTGCATGCATCATTATTTACTTCTGCCCCACTTAGCCTATGTAAACCTGCGTAATTGTTTTCACATCCACCTTGTTCTTCCATTCCCCTCCCCCGTCTTGTGTATTGCCCCCCTACCTAGCACCCAAACTATCCTGTGTCTATTCCTTATCCTGTGCTCCACCTTTACCTCCCTCCCCTCACCCCACCCTTCATATCCCAATAAGCAGCAAAGAATCCTCTCCCCTTTAGTATGGGTTCTTTTTCTTAGTCTTTTATAGTAGTGGTCCTATGCAGTATTTCTCCTTTTGTGACTAATTTCACTCAGCATAATGTCCTCAAGGTTCATCCATGTTATGCCGTGGCTTACAGCTTCCTTGTTATTCTTCAAGGTATCATAATATTCCTCTGTGTGTATGTGCCACAGTTTGTTTATCCATTCTTCAGTTGATGGGTACTTTGGCTGCCTCCATCTTTTTGCTGTTGTAAATAGTGCTGTTATGAACATTGGTGTGCATATATCTACTTGTGTTATGGCTCATGTTTCTTGTGGGTAAATACCAAGTAGAGGAATTGCTGGATCATAAGGTATTTCTATTTCCAACCTTCTGAGGAAGCGCCATATTGCTTTCCAGAGAGATTGGACCATTTTGCAATCCAACCAGCAATGCAGGAGCATCCCAGTCTCTCCACATCCTTGCCAGCATTTGTCCTCTACTTTTTTGATCTTTGCTGTTATTGCTGGTGTGATATGATATCTCATTGTTTTGATTTGCATTTCTCTAATGGCTAGTGATCGTGAACATTTCTTCATGTTTGTTGGCTGCCTGGATCTCCTAATTGGTGAAGTGTCCATGTCTTGTGACCATTTTTTAATTGGATTATTTTTCCTTTTCTTGTAGAGGTGTTTATGGTTTCTTATATATTTTAGTAATGAGTCCCTTGTCTGATGTGTCGTTGCAAAAGATTTTTTTTCCATTCTGTGGGTTTACTCTTCTGGTGAAGTCTTTTGATACGCATAAGTTTTAATTTTTAACGTGTCACAATCATCTATTTTGTCTACTTTTGTTTGTGTAATTTTCAAAATGTTTGGTAGTCTGTGTATTCCCTGAATTAGTGCCCTCAATTTGTCTCTGTTGTTTCACTGATGGCCTTCATAATTCTGGGATTCACATTTAGGTCTTTAATCCATACTGAGTTGGTTTTTGCATAAGGCGGGAGATGAAGGTCTTGTAATCTTTTGCATATTGCTTTCCAGTTCTGCCAGCACCATCTGTTGAAAAGACTATCACCTCCCCATGTGAGATATTTAGGTGTTTTGTCAAAATCAGTTGGCTGTATGTAGATGCGTTAATTTCTGGATTCTCAATTCTGTTCCATT